AATTAACGTGATTTACGGTGCGCTTGGTTCTGAAGCGGGGCGCGATCGAAGCGAGGCCACGTCCGCCAAATCACATTCGACGCCCGATCTGCGAATCTCCGCGCGCGTGCGCTAAGAAAGGCGAGGAGACGAGCGGGCGCATCGCGGAGTTTAATGGGGCATTCGTTGGTCGCGCAACAAAGTCGCCTCTCGTCGGAGGGAGGACCTTGGGAGTGAGCTATGGGCCGACCGTAAATTTGGTGCGCGGCTGTTCCGCGCGTGGGTGTTCGAACCGCCAGCCACTTCGCAATAGAGGCACGCGTCGACGTCATTGTCAGCCCGTCCGCGGCGGAATCTGCAACGCGATCGAGAGCCACGCAGCGAGGAGCTTTCGCCGGCTGTACGCGTAGAGGTTTCGAGCGGCCCTCCCTCTGCAACGATCGGCGCGTCGTGAAATATTAATAAGCAAATTAGCCGGGACTTAGTGGCCACTAAGCGCGCCCTCGGCAGTCTCGTAATTCACTCTTCCCACGCCTTGCACTCCCTCTGCGCTTCGCCAGCCAGCTCATCGATTATTCACTCGTACCTACCCAAAGCCACGCTCTTTCGCTCTTTCCTATTGGCATTCATTACTCAAATGAAGTTACTTTTGTAGCGATCGATACAGGGAACTAGAGCGTAAAACAGAGGCGAAGGATCCGAAGAATTCGACAATTACGTCGGCGGTATCCCCCTCGCGCGACCTAACAGATGATCCTTTCTCTCTCTCTCTCTCTCTCTCTCTCGTATTTGCACGACTGGGAGCGCGCAAAATTTAAGGAGCAACGTCGAGGAGCGGGCAAGTTGCCGACGTCATGCGCGCAAAGTGCTTTCTCCTGCCTCCCTCTGCTCTGCAGCCGGGCGATACGTGAGCGGAATGGACGCGCGCGATGCAGCGCCGAAATGCGTCGGGCGTCGTCGCTGCTTCTTACGGAGCCGCTCTCTTGCTCCGCGAGGGCCCCGCGCACGAATGCCCAATTATGCAAACAACTCCCTCGGCCGCTCGGGTCTAGGCTAGTCGGCGCTACCGAATCGTCGCTTTTCTTTTTTCCTTGTTTTTTCGGCACGGCAGCCGCTGCCTCGACTGCCTTCGGCGATTAGCGCAATTAGCGTCCCACGCCGCAGATTGCGCGCGGATCGCCGGGCGCCCATCACGCCAAGTTTCGCCATTGTGATCGGCCTCCTCCTTCGCGTCGCTAAGAGCAGTCCGCTCGAAACGAACAATGAAGAACATCTCCGAGGCCATTTCTCCTTCGGGCGGGAGATCCGCCTGCGCGGATCTCCGACTAATTGGCGCTCTTCTAGCGCGTACGGCGGTGAAACGCGATGGCAACGGCGGCCTTTTATCGGGCCGGTCCGTGCCCAATGCGCCCCGCGAGACGTCGATGTTCTTGCCTGTTGCGCGAGAGACCGAGGATTTCGAAAGCAACCTCTGCGGCGAGAGCTGCTGGCCCGACGGGAGAGAGGCAGTTAATGCCACGGGCGGAAGATGAAAAAAAAAACAGCCGGACTTGCATTCACGAAAATCCCGTGGCGGCTTTTCCTCTCGGCTGCCGGCCTGAGGCGAAAAACATTCAGGGACAGCGCCGACCTCATAGGTGCATTTGATGGACGGCTCGTAAAATTCTCTTGTTCCCGGAACGCGTACGCACTCTCTCTCTCTCTCTCTCTGCCGTCAGCTACACAGCACGAAGAAAGCAAATTTTCGGGCTCCCCGCCGCTGCCGCTCAGAGGGGATGCAACGCGGCGTCCAAGGACGAAAGGATTGCACATTTTCCAATTTGTGTGGGCCACGATGATTGATTGTAATGGGATTTTCTCGTCAACCTTGCCGCCTTTTTCTCGTCGGCGGGGGATTCGTTGATTTATCCTCGGCAACTCGCCTCAATTAAGATCAAACGGAAGCGCTTGACACGTCCCACGCGTCGCGATAATAACTCGCAGGCGGCGATAAATCAAGTGATTTCCGCGATTATTAGGCGCTTGGCAGCGGCGCGGAGCTGCAAATTGATCGGGCGACCGAGCCGCCGAGTCTCCACGGAGGAGAGAGGCAGAGCGCGCGACGCCCCAATAACGCGGCGGGACGCGCGCGCCCGCGAGAAGATTTAATGCCGCGCGCGCGACTGCCAGAGCGCGGGACCCCACACCACGAGCCACGCGAGCGCAGTATTATTCCTAGCCTCGGCTCTTGCATCTCATTGCGCGCGCGCCTTTCCGTTTGATCGATTTTTACCTAATGTTACATCTATTTCTGCGTCGGCGACCAGTCCGTACTTTGAATTTCGCGCGCTTGCTCTGGTACGTGCCTGCGGCGCAAAATATAATCGCGCGCGGACAAGTAAAAAAAAAAAAAAGAGGAAAGAAAACGAAAAATAAAAAAAAAATTGCCTTTGTTCTTGCTAAAGCCCTCGAGTACGAATGCAAAATAATTTTGCACGCGTGCCCCGCCGCAATGCTGCGCGTATTGGTGCAAGCGCGAGTTCGCGTTACGCCTCTGAATAAATCATCAGTGCGCGGCGCGAGCAAATTGCCACGTTTTCACGAAGTAATACAGGCGCGCGCGCGAGAGAGAGAGAGATAAGGGAACATTGGCCGAAAAGGCCTTCTCTTGGAAAAAAAAGCTCCAAGTGGACATTCGGCACGTATGCGGAGTTGTTGGCCGGCCGTTGTTTTACGAGGAGGCCTCGCGAAATTTCGAAAATTACAATGCACTCGAAGGAACACACGCGCTCGAACCCGTCAGTCGCGCATTTCCGACGTGGAAGAGAGAACGAGCCCGCAAGCTCGCAATATCGAAATGCCGCTGCTCGATCGCTACGTACTGCAAACGACCTATCAATTAAGATGATTTAAGGGTATAAAAGCGCGGAACGCATACGCCTCGGTGCGAGTTTTATGATAAATCGTAAAACAGGCTCACTCTCTCTCTCGGGAAGATGAGTCGCGCGATATTAAATTTCATCGGAGGGAGAGAGAGAGGAGGGGAATACAATAACAAAACGCTCGAAAAGAAGTTGCATGCGCGCGCTGTATAAATTGAAGCCTGGCGCGCGCGTCCCAGCCAATATGTATTACGACTAATGACATAATCAAATTATGCCGCGCGGCCGTGGAGAGCCCCGGACTTGTTCTCCGATTAACACTCGAGGCGCGAGCCGCGATTTGCATATTAAACGGCTCGAGATTTACAACCGGCAGAGCGATAAATAAAGCGCCGAGGCCCTTCTCCTCTCGACTGCCTCCGTCCTTTTTCGCTCTCTCTCTTTCTCTCTCTTTCTCCTCTTGTTCTTCTCGCGCTGGCGCAAGTATAGAGACGCGCGATCACCGTTTCCGCGAACGAGATCCGTTCGACGCGTGCGTCGCCTAGCCGCGACTCGATTTGCAAAACTCCGGCTGAACAGCCTAGTTCTACAGTTCGCCGTCTTCCCAATCGATCGTCAAGCAATTCGAGTGTTACCAACCGAAAGCCATGAACGATTCGCGTATATAATTTCGATCGAGCCTCAACGATCGCAAAAGCTTACCCCGAGCCATTATAGTTTCTCGATAAAAAAAGCAAGAAACACGAAGAATTTACAGGTATAAAAATCTCCGATGGAGGCTGACGGAAACCGTAAGACAATTACACTGTCACAAAATCATCTCTCTCAGAAGAAAAAAAAAGCTCATCAAACGAAATCTATAAATACGACTGGCATCGGCTAGAGTTAATTTGACGAGGTTCGACTGCGGGAAAAGTGTCGGGCGCCGCCGCCGCCACCACCACGAGAGAAACCGGAAACGGTCGGGAGCCTCTAATTATAAACATGGCGACTCCTCCATCAATCAAGCGCTTGAAGATGCTACGTCTCTCTCTCTCTCTCTCTCTCTCTCTCTCTCTCTCTCTCTCTCTCTCGCCCCCGTGACACATCGGCGAGATGTGCTATTATTGTAACCGCTCTCGCGACTACTGCGAGGCAAGTACTATGCGCAATAATTAGAGGGAATTGGATCGCAGATTACGTTTCTCTCCCGAGCGTTATTTAGATCTGCCGAATCGTGCCGGCTTTACGTAACGCGTTTCACTGGTCGACGAACGTTTCTTTGCTCGTTCTTTTTCGCGAGTCGATAAAGGATAAGGTTGAATTATCAGTGTGACGAGCGACGCCCGCTTCGAAACAATATTCATTCGTCCCGTAAAAACAGAAGAAGCCGCAATTTTTCATTGTGCTTTTGTTCTCTCGCGCGGCGTTTCCCTGATTCTCTCCTCGTTCCCTCGGCTCTTTGCCTCATTTATTTATAAAGAAACGTCAAAAAAACTTGACGAATCATTCGTTTACTCAACGCGCGCCGATCACGTCTTTATATTTATCTTCTTCGCTCCGAAAAGTTCGAGCCAGCAGTTTTCTTTCGCTTTTTTTTTTTTGTTTTTGAAGTCTCGCCGCTGCCGAAACCTTTTACACGATAATATTTGATCAAATCTCCGTCGATTCTAATTGCGTTATTTTAGCTGAGCAATTATTTGATCGGGGCCCACACATGCAAGCGCGGGCCGAATAGCGAGCTCGCTTCGATCACTTGGAGCCTGCCGAGTGATTTTCGAAAGCATCCTATCGGTTTTGGCTTTGACGAAAGCGACGACTCAATCGACTGCAGACCGCGCGCGTGACGAGCCGTGGAGCGTCGCGAGTGATGGTCCGAGAGGCTCGACGCGAGCGGACGTTATCTGCCGGTGGAAGTAATAAACCGGTGGGAGAGCGCCACGACCCTCGATCGGATCGGCGGACGAGGAGGCGCGCACGTGCACTTCCGCGCGACGACCCGCATGCGCGACACGTGGTTAATAGAACGACGATATTGAGAACGCGCCGCTGAGGAATTGCGATAAGGCAGGACGACTTGCTGGCCCCGTGCGAGCGCGACAGAGGATTTCCGCCGGCATCGCGTAATTAAAACAGTCGCGCGTAAAAGCCTCTGAAACGAATTTCGTGTAATTCACTCACCTCGTTTCTGCATGAAGCTAAACAGATCGTCCAGGAACTCCTTCCTCTTGGGATCGTCGTTGATCTCGTACAGCTGCGAACAAAAGAAAAGGACGAGGCACTGTTATTGGCGTGCTTTGCATAGGCGGCGCACGGCCTCGGCCAGCTCCGGACGTCGTTCGAGACGGGCCGAGCGACAGTCCAACTCGGCGACGAGTGCCGGCCGCCGATGGAGCAATTAGGCGCTTTGCGGGCACTGTGCCGTCGTCGGCGATTGTGCACGCGGTCGAGCGCTCGTACGCCCGGTCGCAATGCTTTCAACTACGCTCGGGCGAGCATCTCGTGCATCGCTCGAGCCCGCCACGTACCACTGCCGGCGCCGGGACTCTCGCTCGCGGATAATTATCGCGCGCGGGCGAATCGATCAGGGAGAAGGTGCAATTAGCACAGCGGAGAAAGCCAGCCGCGCCTTCGCCATTCCGGCGATTGGCCCCTCGTTAAGGTGAGGGCGAGCCCTCTTGGATGGATGGCTCGACGAATATTTTATATCTGGATCGACTTGAGCTCGTTTTCCCAAGTCCAATCAAACGATCGACCACTTTTGTTTTCCTTATCGTCTCTTCGAGCTTAAGCTCGTAAACGATTAGGACGAGCGAACGAGAAAAACGCAAGAGCAAGGCTGAACTAGCCGCTTCAATTATATTGATTGATCTACCACTGACTGCGAGCGAGAGTATAATGCGCGCATGCAAGCGCGGAATTCAGCTTGAGTGAGAGATGCGACTCCGCCCTTTCGCATTCTCCGCTGCACCGGGAGTTTCAGTGCAATTAACGGTGGAGCGCTGTGCGATCGTCCTGTATTCGGCTCGGCGTTTCAGACGGAAAATGAAAATGGCCAACGCGTTTCCTTAAAACCACCGAAAGAAGAAGAAAAAAAAAAAAGTGACCTGAAACAAGAATAAAAACGGAAAACGAACTGGCGTGCAGCAGTAGGTTCTACGTGCTCCGTTTGCCAAACAAAAGCCGGCAGCTCTCTCTCTCTCTCTCTCTCTCTCTTTCCTCCCCGCGCGATGATATTAGCGGAGCGTGAGCAGGCGATAAGGAATCGAGAGTGCAACCGCCTTGAGTCGAGTGCGCGCTTGCAATCGTAAATATGTAAAGTAGGCTAAAGCCGCGTAGTTGCAATTGATATAGCGGCAGGAGAGAGCGATTTTTTTTTTCACTTGCCTTTCGGCGGAGATCGGCTTTGATAAGTTTTTCGCGCTTTCCTGCTGTTCCGCGCTCGCGCTTGTGTATGCAAATGCAGCCGCGCCGAGGAATTCGCGCGGGAGTCTCTCTTGCTTTTCACGCGAGTGAAAATGCCCGCTGCCTGCTCTGTCCGAGTCAATTGAAATTCGCGATTTTCCTTTCGCTCGCCGATGCGAGCAACAAAAACAGCGGTCGGCGCGCAGGTGGCGCAGTCATTACGTTGCTCTCTTTTTTTTGTTTTTTACGAGCGCAATGGTCATCGTTGCGCAGTCCCGACGAAGATCGAGATTACGGCGAGTTGTCTTCCTGCCTGATAACGAGTGTCGATGTGTGTTGCGAATGCGCGCGCGGCAGAGAGATCCGAGCGATGAGATAAGCCGTCGATGGGCTAGGCTGACCGGCTTGTTCGCGGCTTCGAAATACGTGCGAAGGGAAGCAACTGCGCGTCTGCCGATCTTCGTCGCCGCACAATGAAGAGATATAGTCGCTGCTCGACGATACGTCTTTGTCGACCGCACTGCCCATTGACGAACTGGATCGACCGAAGGCGTTGCGGCTACAATGTGATTCGGGAGATTCACAAAGGCACCCGAAGAAATCTTAATCCTTCTGTCGACCGCGCGTTCTCCCGGAAGCGCCAAGACAATGGGGGGGGGGGGGGGGGGGGGGCCTTGGTTGCCAGCAAAAGAAATCCAACTGGAATCGTCGAAAACGATGCTGTGGATCGACGTTTCGGGCGCCCGCCGAAAAACAATGTTTCCCAAGCAATTTGCTCGGCGGCGCATAGCGGCACTGCAACTGCAGCAGCTCGGACTCTTTAACAACCGGAAGTGCCTTCCCTCAAAGTCTCATGAGAGTGGCTCTCGACGCGCGTAACGATGCCCATTAAAGATGCAAATTCTTTCGAGCGAGTTTTATCAAAACGTAGACTGGAGGACGGGTTCATTGACATCGGAAGTCCTGAGGCTCTTTCCGCGCAACATCACGCTCCGCGGGCAATTTGCGTATCTTAGGCGATAACGGTTCTCGCGCACGCGCGCACACTCGACGCTGCTCGGTCGAACGGCTCGAGCCGATGTAAATTTCACGACTGTTTGCGCTTCGGTGCAAATCACTTGTTTTTATTTTTTTTCCTTTTCTTTCTTTTTTTTCTTCCTCTTGGGCGCGCGCTTATGCAACTCGGCGTTGGCGCTGCCAAGTCGCGGCTCGGCGGTAGTCGCAAGCGCAACCCCGTCGGTGGGCGCTCCGCTCTGCCGCCGCCACGAGGTCACGAGTTTTCGCGATAAAGCGCCGCCGCGTTACCGAGAACGCGCCTCTCATCCGAGTTCAATAGACTTAAATATCAGCTGTAAAAGGGAAGAAACAAACGCGTGCGGGCCCCAACGAAGCCCGGTATCGGGAGGCTACGAAAAATTTACGGCTCCTACGGCCGATCATTACTGCGGGCGCCGTAAACGGGGCGCCTGGTCGCGCGCAATTCGGCGGAGATCGACTGGCCGCGATTAAAACGGCCGATTAGTCCTTTCCGAAAAATCGTATAAAACCGTGGCTTTGTTTTGGCCAAGGGCTTCCTCGTCGCTCGTAATGTCAGTTTATTGAAGGATTTTTCTGATTGTTCGTGTGCTTTCCGCAGGAGCAGAGGAGCGTTCCGTTACGAGGGGGTCCGCCTGTCTCGCCGAAAAATCGAACGAGACGGGGCCGATACACTGTGCAATTAGCGTCCTCGTTAAATGCCTACGAGCATACCGTTACACAACAACATTCGAGCGGCTTCAATAAAATCCGATGAATGATGAGAGCACCGCGAACGAACGTCTCCCCGAGATAAAGGCTTTTAGCAAAGTCCCATTCTCTCGACCAAGATTACAGCTCTCGTCGAAATCAATATCCATTACGAGTCTAACGGTGAAAAGGACTTTGCCACCGAATCGCAAGGGCAGAGAAAAAAAGCAACAATATCCCTCCGCGAAAAACAATAAAGCCATCGCGATTCCGAGAGCGAGAGAGAGAGAGAGAGAGAGAGAGAGAGAGAGAGAGAGAGAGAGAGAGAGAGAGAGAGAGAGAGAGAGAGAGAGAGAGAGAGAGAGAGAGAGAGAGAGAGAGAGATAATTGCGGAAAGAAAAGCCTTGCGGGCGTCGCGCGATTCAATCGGTTTAAGCCGCATCGCCCCGGCCCCGACTAATCCTACTCGCCGTCGCTTTTCAAAGCGAGCTGATCGGGGATACGCGTTATTGTCCGGCGCGCCGTCGTCCTCTCTGCGCCGGATTTCGGCGGACGTAATAGATTGCTGCGGATGGCTGCGCCGCTGACGACGAAGCTGCTGCTCTCTTCGGGGGCAAATCCACTTTGCCGGAGCTCGCCGAGCATTGGCGTCCGAAATCAAAGCGCCGCGGGCGAGCGTTTAGCGGGCGGCCGACGAGTCGCGCGCCGAAATAGCCCATCGAGCTTACATCGTCCGGCGAATTAACGAGCTCCGCGTGGTCCCCGTCGTCGCGGCGACCCCGACAACATGAAAGCGCGCCACACGGCCCGCGACACTTATTTCGATCGGAGTGCATTCCGCGGAGGTGCAATAAAACGCCTGTCAAAATACGTCGCGGGGACGCGTGGGTGCGCAACAAGGCCGGGACGCGGTTGGCCAGCGGCCAATCGCAACAGCCCGGCGTCTTCTGCCCGCGCCGCCGCGTATCATGTCTCGAAACGCTCGTCTCTCCGTTGCGGCGCGCCGCGCAGCAGCAGACAGAGAAAGAGAGAGAGACAGGGAGAGATCGCGGCTATTCGAGGGATTCGCGATATTGTTATTGGCAAGCCCGTCGGGTAATCCATTAGCGAGAGTCGATCCAAGGCAGCCTGCAAAAATAATCCGATTCGCGCACTCGCGGACGACGAGCTTCCGCAGCCGCGCGCGCCGAACCGGCCGAGATTAAGGGACAAGCGAATCGGTGCGCGCTCGCGCGAGCTAATCTCGGGCTCGGAGAACGACCGAGGTGAGCTTTACGCTGCTCCCAGCCGCCGCCGCCGCCGCCGCCGCCGCCGCCGCCGCCGCAGCCGCCGCGTGATTAATCGAATCCGGCCTCCTCGTCCGCGCGCCGCTGATTCGCAGAAAAGCGACTATTTTTGGCCGCGACGGAATCAAAACTTTCGACCACGACACGGAAACAAAGTTCTCGCGCGGCGCCCCCCCCCCCTCTGCTCTCCAATTAATCACCGCGTCCATTAGGCGGATGATTTTAATCGAATCGTGAAATCGATTAGAAGAGAGGAATAGGAAGGGCGTATAATGCGCGTGAGGGCAGATTGCAAAACGAATGGTCCGACAATGAACTTGATTAACCGCCGACGGATACAAATCGAGCCTATCGCTTTGCATAATGCGTTTGGCGCGCGATTCGAGTAAGTTGCGCTCGATTGCCAAAAGCGGCGCGCATCGTGGCCCGCGAATCGTTCGTTAGCGAGCCGAGATCGAAGCCAATTCCAGCAGTGTGATCTAATAATTGCTGTAAAAAAAAAAAAGAAAAAGAAAAAAAAAACAACAACGAGCCTCGACGCTGGAGGAGTAATGGCAACCGACAAGCAGCTATGCAGCCTCAAGGGCTTTCGACCTACTGCTTTCTCTCGTGCCGCGGCAGCCGGATTTTACGTCCGTAGCTGGAAATATTAAATCACACCTAAAACGCCGCGCGGCCGGCTTTTGTGGCGTTGGAGGTCTGCTGCTGCTCGGCACTCGGAAGGTCGAGGTTCTCTCTCGCTCCTTCTCGCTTCAACTTTTTTTATGCACGTCGATTTATTGAATGTTTTATAGCGCGGCTATATCGGTTTATTAGTACTAATTTTTTTCCTTCATTT